GATTTATAACTTAACCCAACCGATAAGAATTTACTGGTATGTTTTTACGATAATTCCGTATAGTTGACAGGAGTTAAAAAATCCATTAAAATATTTGATATATTTATTCCGCTCTCCGATTTTATATTACTCACGGATTTCGATGTTAAACCAGTGATATTACGATTTCGTACATCCCATCTTTAAGGGGATGTAGAAAAAAACGTGTACAATTCTTGTATAATGTTAAAAAATTAACCGTTACTTCGACAGCGTCATTTACAACTAAATTTAACGAATGAGAGAGATGCACCAGGTACAGAAAAGGCTCTAGAATTTATTTTCCTTAAATTTACGATTTATGTATCCGCATTGTCTTTCCACTTTTTTCCCGAGACTACAAATATTCGAGTACGAAGTAACCGGTTTCGACTTATTTCTACTTAAGAAATAGTTAAATAATTAAGCGATTGGGAAATTGGGGACACAAAACCCTGATGAAAGAGCCGAAATTTTACTTAAACAAAAGCCTAACAGAACCAATATCTAGCCGAGTACAGTGGGACTGATTTCTTCATAATATTAGATGTAATAAAGACAGAAATTTTTCCAGTTCAATGAAAGTGAGTAAAAGTTGTAAATTTTGGAAATTTCCGTGGACACCTGGTCTTAAAACGAATTACAGTAGTTAGAAAACAAATGACTTTTAAGTTTAACAAATTTAGATTTTTACAGCTATGATGAGAAACGTTTAAAATTTACAACCACCCTGTCGCGTCCTTTGAGATATACTAGTGATGAGACAAAAGAGACATTAACCGGTATCGGCACCCTCGGGATTTGGCAAGCATGCACCGCACCGCACACCTACCAAGACAGTCTGATTCCATTCACGAGCCACTGGTAGGAAGCAATTTTAACTAGGTGGATTGTTTTAATATTTAAAAAGTAAAGACTATTTTATGTTATTTTTATGTACGTTTCTTCACAAAAACTATATACTGTAATTTTCTTTAAAAGTATATTCATACAATTGAATATTTTGTACCAGGTATGTATAATTGTATATCATCACACATTTTATTTTAACAAGCAAGTTTTTATAATTTTATTTTTAATTTTAGCCCTTATATTATAGCTAGCAATTTAGAATGTAATTGTGATATCGAAAATTTATTTCAAAAAGTTCTGGCTCGAGACCATATAATGAAAAAGAAAAAATTTGTTCGACATTTTCATGATAAAATTTATGAAGATATAAAATGGCTTTGTGGATGCATAAAAATGCAAAATTTGTTTTGTTGGCCTTGCCTACTATTTTCAAATAAAATTAGTGTGTAGAATGAGATTGGCTTTGACGATTTAAATAATTTGAGTAAAGCTGGCAAAAGACACGAAAATCCTAAATCATCGATTCTTTCGTAAAATTGAAGCAATTTGGAAATCAAAATAGAATAGAATTTAACATTAGTACACAATATAAAATAAATATTGAAAATTATAACAAGATAGTTACGGCTAATAGATATATTTTAATTAGTAGATGTTATCGAAGCGAGAATTGGCATTTAGAGGGCGTATAGAATCTATTAAATCTAATATAAGAGAACTAATTATATTGAACTCGCTTATTTATTAAGTGCGTTAGATAATCTATTAATTAAAAATACATTTAGAGAAGTCTACGGTTTTTACTGGCTTATCGAACAAACGAATACGAATGGACCCTAGACCATGGCTGACTGATTGCCCCTGGAAGTCGGCTTCTTATAGAAACACAGCTTCCCTATCATCAAATGTCACGGCACACCACTGATGTATACCTATGCCGAAATACATTTCGGACGTACCAGTTGGCTTTTCTTATAAATACATCAAAATTAAAGTTTAGATCGATGTTTTATTTACAAATGTAAATAATGTTGTTTGTGTAGCCTAAATAAAACATCTGAAATTAAAATTGCTTCTGAATAATTCTTGAACTCCAGAAAACAGTCGGATAAGAAGGACGTAACAATTTGTTTATTAGTCCAAAAACCTCCTTTTATGTGGTTAGATAAATAACTGATTAAGTCGGCTAATATCGTTAACTTTATCTGATGATTTTAATAATTACAATAATACCTTAAAATATATACAATTTCGGAAAGTAAAAAGTTTACTACTACTTATATTTGTAGTCTATAATTTAACACAAATACAGTATTAATTAATAAACCATTTATAATCACAACCGGTAACAACACTGTTAACTATCTTTTGAAACACATTGTTAAGATGTATTTTTTACATAAAGGCAAGCAAAAATATCACGTACATTTTGTAAAGAAGTCCACGTTGACACTAAATACTTTCACACGTGAATGTTACAAGTAATGCAATTTTAGTATTATTTATCGTCATTAATTAATTTAATACTTCAGTTACTGTTTGATATATATATAGGCATATATATATATATATATATATATACACCAAACAGTAACTCAAGTATTAGGCTAAATTAATTGAATTATCTATGAATACAAGAGGCATAATTCTTAGAACACGGCAGGATGCATTGTCTTTATGAGTACGAAAAGATATTGTTCCTTCATTTACATAATATACTTTCGAGTGACGTAACAAAGTGATCAATACGTTGGTATAAAAAGGCATCAAATACCTCACTAGGCCGTAATTTCGGTTTTACAAGTACTGTACAGTATTGTAAACAAATGACGTTGAAGTGACATCATCATTTACAGTCTTATCCAATCGGCTCTTTTTTCACAAAAGACAATTTTGAGCATTTGTGAACTTCGTTAATTGTCTCGACTAATTTTGAAACTCAAAAAAGTATCACGTGATCCGAATTGGCAAATCGTCGTTTAGTAAATATTTAAAACAGATCGACGTAAAATCTCGACGAGAGTCAATTGGTTGATTAGAAGGAACGAGAAACCAATTATCTTCATTGTGGTAAGTCGAAGCAATTGAGAAGTTTGGAAGCTCTCTCGTCACAATGAATGTAAAAACTTGTTCCTCGATGTATTTCGGCAGGCGGTTTTTCGTGTGATTTGGGAATGAACTTAGGTTATATCGTGGTAATACGTAAATACGTATTGCATTGATAAAAAGTCAAAGAAAATGGCAGATACAATACTTCTGGACGAAGGTAAGAGAACTTTCTCCACAGAGAGTGACGTCTTATAAAAGTTATGAATTGTGTATTTTCAGTTATTGACGAGAGTTACAATGCAGACGACGAGAATGATTCAATGGAAAAAGAATTTAAAAATGATAAATTGTTTACCATGAACTATTCTGTGGATACAAGAAGTGAAGAAGTAAACCAATACCAATTGCAAATGGAAATGAAATCGCCTATTATAGAACCTGCCGCTCTTTTATCCAAAAAGGTAATTTAAAACGAACATTTGGTTATTTATAAAATGAATTCTTTAGAAGTTTGATAAAAAGACTCAAAATTTATTATTATTTTTTTTTTACATTTTTTTTTTGCAATAATGAGACTCCATACTATTCAGTTGTACACTTCTCTTCAATGAAAAATTGTGTTACATAAATATATGCTGCTCTTAATTCGAGAAAGCTTCAATAATCAGTTCTTGTCTCAATATAATTTTATAAATTTTTTAATAAATAAGAGCTGTTTGTACTTTGTACATATTTTTTAAGAAGTTGAATAGCTGCATATGTCAGTCTTTGCTTGGGTGTAAGTGGGACTAGGCTCTAGGGGTGATTGGGGGGTGGACTCCCACAATATTTTTTCCTAAGGTGTTGAAAAATACTTGTGCCAAATTTGGTGTGGATTTATAGAACCTTTACCATACATTTATTTATTTTTACCTTTATATATGTGAGCCACTTTAAAAGTTACTGGATACACGAAAATCACTGAATGCAGAAAAATGGTCCGCGAAGCTTTACGTCTTTGGTATTGTATCGGCAGCAGTGGATAGTATCTTGAACAATTGTCTTTATGAACAATTATGAAAAAATTTCACCCGTTGAGCTCAAAAACATATGTGGGACATTGTCACTGGTGACGAGACCCGAATCTACTAGTATGATCCTGAAAGTAAGAGACTGTCCAAGGTTTGGGTCTTCTCTGACAAAGCACTACCGGTCAAAATCAAACATCCAAGAACTGTTGGTTGGAAAATTGTAGCAACATTCTTTGGAAGAAGAGGTCTTATTGACACTAAGTCTTTCAAGAAATCCTCAAACAGCATCTTAAAACAGGCCTTTGTGGACTCTTGCTGCCCCGTAACAATGTATACAGCAATGATAACAGTGGACTACTAAAATGACTCCTGAGTGCAGTTGGTCACCCATTTACCTTATAGTACAGATTTAGCATGCTGTGACTTCTTGCTGTTTCCCAAAGCCAAGGAGGTCCTCGAGGGATGTCATTTTGGGAATCTGAAAGAGGCTGTTGCTGCATACAGATACACCTTAGTAGACATCTCAGAAGACCAGTGTCAGTGCTTCCAGAGCTGGTTCTCCAGCATATAACAAGATATTAGATAGAGTACTTTAAAAAGATATGAGGATGGACAGAAAGTAACATTAAACAGGATTATTGTTTCCGGAAACATTCAGCTTGACTTTCGTGTATATATAGGATAACATTATTGGAAAAAGTTTAAAATAAAGAAACCAGTGAGATTTTTTAATAAAGGTATATTGATCACAAAACATAATAAACTTTAATGAAAGATAATTAATATTTTACTGAATTTGAAATGTTCTAATTTCTATCAAGAGTCCCTGATGTACCAATTAGTGGATGATGCTTTTTTTTTAATTATAAACAATACTGTTTTAATTTATAAAATTTGAAATTTTTATTCCAAATTATGAAAAAATTGAAATTATTAATTTGTGTAATTTAGTTACATAATGATGTATGTAATTAATTTAGTAAACAGGCCTGAATAAAGTAAAACTTGAACCTGAAGCCTTGATATCCCATACTGAAATCTGTATAATCAAATCTAACTATAAAGTTAGAAAATCAATTTATGTGCAGTAGACTCTTCCCTATCTGAAGTAATGTGGGCAGGAGTGATCTGGATATATTACAAAAATCCAGATAATGTGATGTAATCATTTTAAAATAAGATCATAACATATATGCCTACCAAATATGAATAAAAATGTGTATTTTGACTTTTATGCTTATTTTTGACAATTACAATTTTGAAAGTATTGTGTTAAGGTTGTTTTGTTCTCATTTTGCTGATGAGCTGCTACATCATGCCAATGCTGTAAAATATTTTTAAAAATTTTTGGTTGCCTTTGATCAATCTGTATATGGGAAGATCGGATGAGGGAGAGAGTACTGTAATTTCAAATGCTTAAAAGAAAAAAAAAAGATAATTGAAAATGTTATGTCAAAAGAAGGTTCTTTTTTTTATAACTCTCGGCTCCACAGACGACTAAAAAGGCACTCCTAGTGCCTTTTTAGTCATGTCTGTCAGGATATGTATCTTGGATTGGAAAGTGCATTCTTAACTGGACCTTGATGATAGCCAAATGGTTAAAGTGCAGTAGTAGTGCCCACAGACTATAAAAAATGGGACACAAGCTGTAGAAAAGGGCATTGTACATTATGCAAGAAGCTTCAAATTCAGTGCTGAATGAACACTCCCACAAGATTATTCTGGTGGCACTCAGACTAATTTTGTCTTGAAAACAGGAATGTGGTTTTGGCCAACATTGAATCTAGCAATGGGCAATAGAGTTGATAAACTCTCTGCACTTATTGCAGGTTTGGACAGGCCCATTATATATACAGCTCCATCCCTCACCACATTTTGTGGTGGAGGATGGGGTTATATATAATAGGGATGAACATCCCAAAAAATTCCTGGAAGGGAGTTTTTGTCTGTTCATATTTGTTACCAGGTGCCCCAGAGTGGTAGGCTGACACCTTAACCACTTGGCCAACTGACCTTTGTCAAAAGTATAGAGAGACTTTGAGACCCTAGCTTCAGGAATTGTGATTGTTTGTGGCTGTGTTGATAGAAATGATTCCACATGGAAACAAAATGCAACTTATAAAATTAATTATGTATTAATAAATTTTAACGTAAATGTACATATTATCAATTATTAAAACTTTTTAGAAGGAGATTCAGTTTATTTACTATAGAAATTAAACTTTTGAAATTAAAAATAATTCTTATATTTATGATTTTAAGATCTAAATAATTACCAAGATTTTAACATGTAAATTTTTGGACTGCAGTTTTCAAATTGCAGATATAAATTTCCATTGTCATCCATTTGCCTGTCCTTCCTTAATCTTGAGAACAGAGTTAGATAGATGAAAGTTTGGGGGCAGGAGACCCAATTAACTATATACAAACTACCAGTTTAGACCAGAAATTACATCATTCAAAAATTTTCCCGAATGGAGTTAGATGACTGGCATGACCCTATTGCTAACAGGAAAAGTATGATGTACAGAGCCAAGACACTACTAAAAGAATTTAGAACATTGTGACAAAAAATTGCAGCCCAGCATTGTGACAATGACAATAAATAATTGCTCATCAATATATAAAAATATATTTTAATTATTTAATGGTTATTTCATAATTAATGATTCAATTTAATGTAAAAGCAAACCTGATAAGAATTCTTCAATTTATATTTAAGTCAAAATTTTTATTATTTTTGTGCGTTTCAAAATATATTCAGTTTTGAAAATAATTATCTAAGTAAGTTTTTTTTCATTTTAGCTTCAATCTCTTTGAAAGAAGAATACAAAAAGTTTTTAAGTTATATGGATTGGATTGCTATAATAAGACAATCCAACATATGGACAATTTGACAAAGGGAGGTAACTCCCTAGGAAAACTGATCAATATTTAGATATTAGACATATGAATAAAATCAAAATTCTACACAACCAGCCTGTTGGTTAGGTGCAAACTCTCAACCAACTACCAATTTTCAATGCTTTTATCTCGAAGAATATTTGTACTGCAGTGCCCGGATCCAAAAACAGATGTTTGTCTACAGCTTATCACTTGTACAAAAGAGTTAAGCAGAAAACATCAGATGCTTAGTTTTGATAGTTGGATGTAGATCAGTTGAGCTCAATTGATGAGCATTGATAGATGCTCAACTGAGCTCCTATCAATGTTCTCACTTAGACTATGCAATAGGGCAATAAGTACTTCTTTTTTGCTTTGTTTCATTCTGTCTTAAAATGTTAAAAAAAATTGGCAGTATTATGTAAATGCAGATATTTGCAATAAATTGCCTAAATTAATATTAAAAGTACAGTTTTAACAACCAGTTTAGCAAACTAAAAATATATTAGGAAGCAAGTCTGCCAAACTGGCACAAACTAACTGAATGCCACCACTGACATGAGAATTCACATTTACATGAGAATTATAAGCATTATCTACTCTACCAATAGATTTATTTGTTCAATATATTCTAAAAACTGTCATTTTTACCATTTAAGTGAATTTATATTAAATCTCTAATTTATTTTAAAATACCATTATGAAAAATTGATTTTTTTTCTGTTTTAAGACCATGCCAATCTATTATTGAATTTGTACATATTTTGATGAAATAAATTTTATTTTATTAGAAAGTGGTAATATGCCAATANGCCATTTTATCCTTACAAACGGGTTTTAAAACTACATTGTAATCGCACGTTCTGTTGTTGCTCTTAAGCGATACAAAGTACGTCTTCTCTTCTTCGATGGGCAATAGATTACAACTGAATAAATTCTTCTTTCCGTCGAAAGCGACGGGATAGTCCCGAAACAGTTGAAAAGTCGAGAGAAGGTTGTCGATGACTTTTCTGTTTTCTTTGGTGTTGAGGCAATTGTATCTTTTGCAACCGACGGATTGTTCCTTGTTCTTTTTTAGAGGGATAATATCCACGTCATAATGGTACACGTAACTCTTATCTATTTTCATTTCGAAGAAGTTACTTATGACGTTTATCCTCTTGCCAGCGTACCCGAATCCCGGTCTCGGTGGGAAAATGTTCTGCAAATTAACATCCTTCGGTCTTATAGCTACCTTATCTCTGTTGATTTCTGTATATCTGATATCGAGAGATACAGAAGATACCTTGCGACTGACCGAAGGAGAGAGTTTCTCATTCTTCAATATGTTATTTCGTGTCTTCGGAAGTGCCCTTAAGTTTGATATCTTTCCGATGACTTCTTGTTTTTCATCAGCTAATGAAATAACGGAAAATACTTATTTACAAATATATTAAAATTTAAAATAATTATTGAAATTATAAAATTTGCATGAAAAGGATGGAAGAAGAGGATAAGAGAACGAGAAGAACGGAAGTTCTTTTAGAGAAGACTTCGTAAGGGACAAGATGGAAATACACTATGATAAT